ATTAATATTCATGCCGGTGCGGCGAGTTGCAGGGTGCGCTTGAACAACACGCAGTCGTGACGCATGCCGCACGAGTCTGCGGGACGTGCGCCGCCCCGACACCTCCGCGGGGGGTGCGTGCGCGCTAGAGTGTCGTGCGCAGAGAGGCGGCGTGCGGAGAGCGCCGGGCAAAAACAGCCCAACGCGTTGCAAACGCCTTCTGGCACCATTAGGCCGTCGTCTCACCATGCCGCTACCCTGATGACCTGTGCACCCCTCTCTCGCCTCAACCCCCACTATCTGGTGATTCCCTCCCTCCTCCTCCTTTCCCCTCCATCTATCTCCCTATCTCCCTCTCTTCCTTTCCCTCCCTCTCCTTCTCCCTCCCGCCCTCACGCTGCCTCTTGGCCCCTCTCTCTCGCAGCCCCGACAGAGTCGTGTTCAGCCCCCGGATGTACACAGAATCACGGCCGCTCCGTCCTGCCGAGTTAGTTCTGGATCGTTTGCACCACGCAATGGGGGATTTAGGGGGAACCGGCCAGGGAGCCGGGCGGGGAGAGAGTGGGCGATAGGCGGGGCAAGGGGTGGGGGGTAAAGTGGGTTGGGGTAAAGGTACGGTGGGAGTTCGGTACGGTGGGGTGGTGAGGTGGGTGAGGTGTAAGTCGGGGATGGGTTGAGGTGGCGTGGGGATGGGGCGAGGTGGGACCGAGGCGAAGTGCTCACCCAGAGGGGTCGTGCTCCTTTGCACCCGGCTGTGCCATGGCTGTGCACCCCCTATCCCAATCGAATCCGTCACGGCTTCCGCCCTTTACCTCGCACCCCCTGTCCAATCGGGAACGGCATGGCCACAATTTAGTTCACGAGGTTTTTCCTTTCCTGATAAGAGGGGTGATAAGAAGGGTAGAAAAAGGCACGGCAGGGGAGGGGAGAAGAATAGGGTGGCAGTCGCAAGCTGCTGCTGCTATGGCCGAAGATCCGGTGGGGACAATGAGGCCGATTGGTGCCAGCAGCCAGCCATTTGCACTTAGTGGGCGCGGCACAGGCTGAGTGATGTTTTACTTTGGTGGCGTACGGCAGGGGCGGCTGAGGGGTTAGGGAGGGGGGAGGG